TTTGAAGCCACATTGACGTAGATGTACAAGTGACAAAAGTGCTGTGGTGAGTCTTATCTGGCAGCTGAATTGCTGAAAAGGACCAAAATGAAACAGTTTGCTCTATCTGCATCAGACGACTGTCCAACATTCAGGGTTTTTAAAAAGAGCTGCTCAAAGGAAGAGACATTTGGGACGTGCAGAGGTACATGAAAAGTTGTCTTATTCCTAAAGAAGTAACCAAAAACATAGTAACAAGCCAAACCAATTTAAATAAAATATATAAATACTGGTGCCTGGAACTTACATGGTCAATTTACAGAGATAGGCAAGAGATTAAGGTAATAATTTATTTACATTTCACTTGTGACTGCATTAAAATACTATGGCTTGATCTCATACCCAATGCAGTGAATAGACAATATTCCATGGACATTCACAAGCTTTGGATCAAGCCACCAAGTATGATTTGCCCTATTTTCCTCAAAAGCCAGAGAATGCCTGTGCCAATACAAATTTGTTTTGGTTTGTCCTGTTATGCATAGCCAGTGTGATTGTAAAGGTAAGGGCAGAAAGTATTTTTCCAATTAACTTTTTCCAGTGATTCTTTTATAAAATGTATGTTCCAATCAGCTTTGTGGGATGGCATGCCGCTAGTGATAGGTGCCTTAATTTTATGTTCCCTGATTTTGCCTCTTTAGTTTACTTTAATGTTTCAGGAAAGTGGATTATTCTCCATTCTTTTCCTTTGTTTCTTAAACAAAGGTGGGCACAGGAAATACTTGGATGTACTTTTGGAGGTTTAATTTTGGAGAGTTACACAGGTTTTGCAATATTTGGCATGAGGTCTTCAAAGTTCCTTAAGGAGCCTTTGTCAAGGATCTAAGGATCCATTGCAACCTGATGCAGTACAACTGTGCCAAGAACCCGAGGACCAATCACATTAGAATCCATCTGTCCAGGGGAAAAAAAACTGGAGGAGGCAAAGATCCATTTTTGAAGCATACAAATTTCTCAAAGTTAAGGAAGGTTCTGATCAAAGACTGACTTTATTTTCTAATTGATAAAGGTGGTAGATCCAGAACTTGCTTGTCAACCTAGGTCCAACCTTCTCCAAAGCTGATTTTGGGTCTGAATAGTTCTTAGATAGCTCCTTAAATATCTGGGAAGAGGCTCAGTGGAGAACTCAGACTCCAGGGGTTATATGATGACATAATGTGTTATCTTTTCCTATTTCTCCGCTTATTTATAAAGCACCTGTCATGATGGCTCCCCACGCTTGGGTAATTATTTTAAATACACACCAGAGCTATGGATAAAAATCCAAGTATCTTAATTTGCCCTACTGGAACAGTTCCTCCGCCAAAGCAAAAGGCTTTCTCAACTTGAAATCTTGATTCACTCAACATGTTATCTCCAATAAGAGCTATAAAACAGGTGGACCTTGCCAGGATGCCCCCAAGTCAGTGAGTTTGAGGTTTTTCATACAAATATAGTGGAGGCTGCTCCAGAATGGAGGAGCCCAGAGGGAAAAATGCTTGGTATCAGAACCTCGGATCTAAACAAAAGATCTTTCTGCCCAGATTGCACCTGTGGCTATATCACGTGTGGGAGGAAGATCTCTTTGTAGCCACAAGGCAAGCATACTGGCTAAACCCATCTATTCCTCTTTGACACTTTATGTTCTGTCTTATGTTCCAGTGGTTGTAAAACACTAGCCTTTTGGAGCTCTTCCACACTGGAAAATTTAATCATGATAAAACACAACCCTGAGGAATCTTGGTAACTAAGACAATGCTAAACATGCTGTTAAACACTGAACGCAGACAGGGACTGTAATGTTTAACATCACATCAGCTGGTTGTGGTTAAGCCCATGGGCTGACCAGCTGCCACAATGCTGAACGTGACAGTGTCTGCCTGCACTGATTATTTAGCAGTGTGCTAGCAGCCCTCATTCTCATGGCTCCCTTTTCTTGCATGATCTGGTTTTCTAGCACAGGCACGCATTATATTGGCTCGCATAACTGTTGCAAGATACCAGATTAACCAGATTGGAACAGTTGACATGGTACTTGTATTTATGTCAAGGACCTCAGTCTCGTATTTCAGCTCCTGGCTGCAGCAATCACACACAACACTTCAGTTCATACCTTGCCTTTGCTCCTGCACACCGTGTCTCTGACCCCAGGGTGGCTGCATTGTTATTGCTTTGGTCTGACGGGGGAGGTAGTAGATACGTGGCACCCTGACAAACCTTGGGTTTTTTACAGAGGTCTTATCCTAATTTGGGAGAAAAGGGAGATGAATGCTTGAACAGTATTTATGTACCAGCAAGATGGTGAGGAAAGAAATGACAAGCATCTGCTTTCCCTCACGTGACTGGGCATGATGTATTGATGGTAGCCTCAGTTCTGTAATGTAAAAGGATAATGCAAAGTTAACTTTACTAATGGATCAGTTCCAGGACTATTTCAGCTCCAAGAAATATGTGACATTTGGATATCTCTTTTTATTTATTACCAGATATCAGACTCCTGCAGATATGCAGAAACAATAGATCAGTATGTGAATGGTCTAAAAATCAAGGCCAAGTTTGTGATTTTGTGCAGCATGATGCATGACAAACTCCCCACAAGACTATTGGGATGACCAGATATTTGGCTTATAAAAGGGAAAATAAAAGCATTCAACAAGTGAAACCAGTGCTTTCCCTGAACATGAGGGAAAAGAACTCCAAAAACCCCAACAAATGAGACATGGCTTAAAGGTAGGAAATGGAAACCTAGGGAAGTATTATTAAAATAACGTATGGCCTGAGCAATGGTCAGCTCTTATTGCAGTTTTTCCAAAGGCAGAAGGGCTGTTTAGGGGCTTTCTCCTCTCCTTAGCTCTGATTTCTCAGTGGCTGAAATTATATCTTCAGCTGCACTATATAAAATTTCAAAGTTGTTGGAACTTAATATTTTGAGATTTCTCTACACCTGTCAAATTTTATTGAAATTAACCAGTGGCTTCTGTTATAAAGCAGAAATGATGAAAATACGGAAGCAAATACTAACTGTGTCTTTGCTGAGAAACAGGGCTAAAATGAATATGCTACATTTTAGTTCATGACATATTTTTCTTTTTTATATTTTTTGATACTGTGCTGGTTTTGGCTGGGGTAGAATTAATTGTCTTCATAGTGGCTGGTATGACACTGTGTTTTGGATTTGTGCTGAACAGAGAACTTATAATACAGGGATGTTTTTGTTTGCAGAACAAGGATTATATATAGCCAAGGCCTTTTCTGCTTTTCATACTGAGACACTGGTGAGGAAGCTGGGGCTGCATAAGAGGTTGTGAGGAGACACAGCTGGGACAGATGATCCAAACTGACCAAAGGGATATTCCAGACTGTGTGAAATCATACCCAATATTAGAAGAGAGGGAAGAAGAAGGAAGGGGGGACAGTTGGAGTGATGGCATTTATCTTCCCAAGTCACTGTTACACGTGATGCAGCCCTGCTCTCCTGGAGATCGCTGAACACCTGCCTGCCCATGGGAAGCAGTCAATCAATTCCTTGTTTTGCTTGTGTGCATAGGCTTTCCCTGTTGAACTATCTTTATCTCAACCCATGCGGTCTCTATCTTTTACCCTTCTGATTCTCTCCCCAGTCCTGCAGGTGGGGCAGTGAGTGAGAGGCTTGTGGGGTTTGGCTGCTGGTTGGGGTGAAACCACAACAGGCACTTACTTACTTTTTTTTCTGTAAGTTTTATAAGAAGGAAAAAGCAGTCAGTGAAAGAACTGGTATTAGTCATGTGGGTCCAAACTGAAGAAAGAAAGGTAGAAGATATAAAGGGTGACGTTTGAAGTGGGTGTGAAACTAAAGATAGGGATATTTGCTATGGGAAGGATGAAAAAGATCCAGACAGTAGAAATTCTGCATAAAGGAAAGACTGGGAGAATTAAGAGAACATAACCACAGCTTTCACTATGCCAAGGAAACACTATAGGTGCTACTGAGTTTTGTGGAAGCTTTCTCCTTGTCGTTGGCAATTTGCAAATCTATTGTCCAGGCTGAAGGACTCATCTCACTGAAAGGGAAGGAAGAGTACTGATGCATGTTTATAGTCAATTTGGCTTATGCAGATAAGGATTTAATTTATAAACTTCATGGCCAAAGAATTCCTCATTTAGCCTAAATCCCATTGCCCTGTCTAAATCAAGGTGTTCCTAGCTCTTGCTGGACCCCAAAATTATTTCAGTCTAAAGGTGCACAGGGACTAAACTGGAGTTTAAGTGAGATTAATTTGGGCCAAAGGCATCATGGTATGGTGCTGTCTGAATTTCCCCTTAACCCCAGGCATCAGCAGATCTAGTTCTGTATCTCTGACACCTCAGTGCTCTGAAGGAGAGGGAGGTAGGCGTTCCCCAAGAATAAGAAGTGACAACAACCATCATCCTGCTTTCCTGCCCCCAGAGTATGTGGGAGGGTGACATTATTATTTATTATGTGTTTTGCTGTAGTCCTTAGGATCCTTTACACTCACAGTTGTACTCTGACTTTGGAAAGAGAAAAACTGTTGTGCATGAAGAGGCTGTGTCATCTTAGCTGTGCAAGAATTGCACCCTAAACACTCAGGATTTTCTGCTTGCAAAGGCACAGGATTGTGAAAACTCCTCTTGTCTAGCCCCAAAGTTATGCTGTCTAATGGGATAGCAGAGTAAGCAAGCAGAACTGTTGAAGGATTTACTTGCTGAGCCAAAAAATCCTGTAAGTAGTTAACAAGTGTTTAGCCGTGCTGAACTTTCATAACACTGCCATTGATAACCAAGTGGGACCTGCATGGCACAGGATCATGGAAAAAAAGTGCTGGACTTGCCCTTTCTCAATTACAAGAAGTCTCTTAAGCCCCAGGTGGTGAAAGATGTCAAAGTTAAGGTGCCAGTAAAAAGAGACAGCTGAAGGCAAAGCCCTTGCCCGTTTTCTTTGACAAAAGTGGGGTGGTCTGGTAGCATGTGCAGTAGGAGTTGTATTCTGTCCTGAAATGTGAATCTGGGTGCAGGACCACAGACAACAGAGAGGAGGTCATGATCCTGGGGGAAAGGTTTCCTCTTCAAGTATTTGGGGGACAATGTAAACATATTGTGAGTAAGAGGGTAGATGAAAGGTTAAACCAAGGGCATTTATGCTTTTATTTGTGAGCGTAGACAAAGGCTTTTATTTTTCTCTTCTTTTTATTAGAAGGTTCATTTTTAATTTGGCCCTCGGTATTCAAAGTGCTTGCCCCTTTTTTGTTGAATGAAAACTAGGATTGAATTGGTTTTAAAAGGATTTTCATTTGGTGACTGCTTTAAAACTAAAGCAAGCTATCACTCAAGACCAATTTTATAAGTTCTTTTTCCCACAATGGAAAGGGTTCAGGTAAATACATATCTAATTAGATGACCATTTATGCAAACATTTATGCAGTTATCTTCCAGGGATATGAAACCCAGTTGGAAACACTCAGTTTTTTAAATTTTCTGTTACAATTCCAAATTTATGACTAGTGAGAACCTAATTAGATTAGGAGTCTCTTCAGGAGTCGATGAACATCCCCAGTTATCAAGATGCATGTGGGCTGACTCATCAGAGTGGGATGGCCAAATTTCTGAAGCTTCATACCAAAATATACAAAGAGTCAAGAACTATCAGCTGTCACATCTGTCAGAGGGCTGTGGGAAGGGAAGACCCCGGAGTAAGAACTTCTCAGAGATCCCAGAGAGCCAGGCTGAGCATGCAGCTGGTGCCTGTGGTTACCAGTGATGTTGGCCAGAGCCGTTCTCCTTGCCCACCTTCTCTCCCAGCTGGAGAAGCAAATTACCCAGCAGCCTTGGTGGTGCACTTACATTTTTTGCACATATAGCTTGAATCAAGATAGTCCTTCATCCCCTGCTGTGAACCACCATTAACAGCTCAGGGTATTTAATATGACAGGTTATAAGGGCACATGAGAGCTTTTTGAAGCTGGTCTACACTGGATTATTCAGCTCTAGAGTAAAGGCAAAAATACAGAATATATGTAGTCTGGGTCTAAGAACATAAATTTTGCGTGGGATCAGAGTGGGAAGAAGAAGCCAGTGACAAGGTGGCCATAGAGCAGCCAGCCTCAGGCAGGGTCTGTGCTGGTCGGTGCAGACACGAAGGTGCAGTGCTAGCTGGGATGAACTGCTTCAAGTCCCAGAGAGGCTGGTGAGGCACCTGGCTGTACACCTCCAGAGCCACAGGACTTTCCAGGTGATCTGCATGGCCACTGTGCTCTAAGTAGGTACAAACTTCTGGTGATGCCTTGTGATTACTACTGAAGTTGTTGCTGGCTTTTACAAGGGTCTGTTTTCTGTTTGCATACAACAGTGCAGAGAAGCCAGCAGACAGAGAGACTGTGTTCACGCCACACAGATGTACAAATCCAACTTCTTCCTTGACAAAGTACAATTTGTTGTGCTGGTGAGGGAGGTCACAGGCAGCAAAAATCTGCGAGTGCTATATCTAAACCCTTTGTTTCCAGATGTGCGCACAAAGCAAGTTCCCACTGTTCGTCTTGATAGTGGTTTCTGTCTGAAGTGCTAAATTTGTGCATGGATCTGTAATAATACAGGGTTGCTGCAGTCCTTCTAACTATTGCCAGATCTGCTGAAGAACAGTGAGAAGATTATGCCTCAGTTTGAATTCCTTAGATGTCTCCAAAGAGTACTTGTGTAAAGAGACTCAAGCCCAGGAAGCCTGTAATTATCAGCTAAATAAATAAATAAATAAATACAAACTCTGGGCTAGGTCCCAGTCTGACTTGGCAGTTTTATTCCATTCTGGGGAGGTATAAAACAGTGCCAAGGGCCTGAAATCTAGCCTTTAGGGATTGCTCTTTTGTACAAAAGTCCAGGTGTTATTCAGAGGAGAGGATCTAGACTTGCAGGTTAGCAAAATCCTTCAGAAACAAATAAGAACTGACAGTACTTCATCTTTTTTGTCCTTCAGTTTCTCAAAAGCTCAGCTCTTTTCCTCACCCCAATCTCCCATCATTTTTTTTTCGTCTTTACATACCTCTAAATTTCCTGCTTTTTGGCTGAGACCAGGTATGTCAGAGCCAAATACTGTTATAGCTGTTTTTGTGTTGGTTCCAGCCCAACTGGAAGCAGGAAATACTAAAATTCTCCTGGGTAATCCTCTCCTCTGGAGACTTCCAGTCCAATTTTGCAGATTCATGAGTGTTACATGCTTTAGGCAAAGTTCAGAGATGCAACCAAAGCCAAGTGCTACAGATATGTAGACTTGAGATATACAGGGAAGGCAGTCAGTTCTGTATCATCCCTTGTAACATCGCTTGCTATCCAGGCACTTACCTGCACCAAACTGCTCCAGTTTCTTTTTAGATCTGTGTCCTAAATCATACTGCTTCTGCATACCTCTGAAACTTGGTCTGCCCTTGGTCTGTACTGTGTGAGGGATCAGATTCAGGGGGAAGCCAGCAGAAGAGCCATATCAGGACCAGAAAGTGGAGAGTGGAATAAAGCAAGCAGACTATATCATCCTCAATTTGTCCCTCATCTTTGTTCCTGGAGTGTTTCCCCTTTTCTAATGGTGATACTGTGCTGGATTAGGCCTCACCGGCAGCAATGCTGTGTGATGGACTTGCCCAGCAGGACACAAGTGGCTGGAGATGCTGCTGGTGCTGTACAGTGGCAGCGTTGAGAATTCAGGATCCTGTCATTGTATGAAGGGCCACCTGGGCAGGAAGGTCCAGCTCTCCTGCATACAGGTGACATTTGCATTCCCTGTGGTGGGGATGGGACATGAAAGCACTGCTGAGGCCTCACTGGACCTCTCCTGCCAGACCCTCTCTTCTGGGTGGGAACAGTAAATTCAGACTGGTTTGTTCTGGGAAGAGCACACAGAGATGACTGGAAATGCAGTTCCTCTCCTTGATGAACTTCAGCTCAGATCTGCTGATGGCAAGCATGTTTAAAGCAGCTGCCACGAAATGGCACCACTGTGTGATGGCCATTTTTACTGACAGTGCAAAAATAAAATCCTTTTGAGAAAGGAGTAAAAAAAGAGACTGAGAATAGTCTGGGGAGCTGTTGGAGGAACAGGAAAGAATGAGTACTGAGTTAGCCTCATATCAGTGTGATTTCTGTTACCAGTGCACAAATAATCCTAGAGGATACCCCGTCCTCATTGTTTGCTCAGCAAACAGCATGGACTTGCAAAGATTTATAGACATCATCCACTGTCAGAGAACCAGGGAGATTTGCTTCATGAGGCCTGTTCCTGGGGAAAAAAAAAAATAACCTGAGCATGTGCTTCTTTGCCTGCTTTGGAGCAGATCATAAGATATTAATTTAATAAGACTATTATTCTGTATTGTTTGCATGACATTAGCACAACATTAGTGCTCATTGAAACTGAAGACCCATTTTAAGTGGCACTGTACCCGAGCACAGTAAGAGACAGTAGTTGCTATGCCTATCAGCTGAGCAGACAAAGTGTGGTATGTTCCCTTTCCAAATGGGGAATTGATACACATAAATAATGAAGTAATCTACCCCACAGATATCCAGTGTACAAACACAAGTATGACAGCCAGCTGCAATACTGAACCATGGTAGGAGGTTTAACAACACAGAAAACAATAGGTATTGTATACTGTAGGCTAATAAAATAGGACTGGGTAAAAAAAGGTTATTTTCTCTCCTGGGAATGGACAGATTTTTGTCAAAGACAATTTGGCTGAAAACCGAATATGTGCTTATTATAATATCTTTTGTTTCGTAGTTCACATTTATTTTAAGGACAAATGCAAAAGTGGACACCTCACATGCAGAATCTGTCTTTGGCCCAAACAAGGAATAACATTTTTCACTGAAAATTTGCTTTGGTGAAAAATTTTCAGCCAGCTCTGATGCAAAGTACCGTATGGTAGGTGTTTCTTTTCTTTTTGCTCTTGTATCCATCTCTGCAATTCTGCGTTGCTTTGGCCCTTACTCGAATACCACCTTCTGCTACTAATATAATGCTGCCAACTCTGGCAGCTCAGGCATAAATCTTCCTAAATTTGAGCATTGGAGTGTTGTGAGAGAGGAGGAAGAAGAGAAGAGAAGGGGAAGACTAGATGGGCACAAGGGGAATTCAAATCCAAGTTTTAGAAGACAGGTGTCCAGCTTCGGTTAACAAATTAAAAAGGGAATTAAGTTTTAGCTGTTGTGGTCATGGAAAAAGCTAGAAAATGTGAAGCTCACGGTCCCAAATAGCACTCAGCCACAGACAAAGATCCTCGATCTTCTGCTTTGTTTGTAGTGCTGGGGCCAGGTGCACCCCAGCTTGCCGTGGGCATTCCGGGCAGGAGCTTGTGCCAGCATCTCTGCTCTGGTACCTGCCCCGTGGTGGGCCAGGGCCCTGATGCCAGCGGCTGCCTCGTGCACGGCCTCCACACACCTCCAAAACCTGGGCCCCACCAGCCCTGGGGGGGAGGAAGAGGAGGAGGGGGAAGGACCAGCTGGCTGCAGCCATGAAAAACCGGTAAGAAGTAAGAAGAGCCATACAAGGACCACGTGTGGATTTTTGTTTGGAGTCATTCTGTTGCAGCAATGCAACTTGCAAGCAACACACCCAGCACTTGCATCACCAGTTCTTTTCAGGATACTTATAGGGTATAGAGTTCCTTGCACCCAAATATTGCATGCTGGTTTTGTGAACCCTGATTCTTTGCCTTAATTTCATTACAGATGTAGAAGAAATAGTGTGGAGTTGTGTCTATCAGCTATATCTATCCTAGTCTGAAGCAATGTTTCTGTGAACAATCTGTGCTGACAGACCTAAAATAGTGGAAGATTGTCATGGTTTAAGCCTTTTTTTTTTTTTTTAATTTAATGTAGTTTAACCCCCTGTTCTGGGTACCTGGTGCTAGACTCCACCTACACTGCCTCTGAAAATTTTTTCCTCTGTCAAAAAAATGGTATCATTTAAATCTCAGGAAATAATGAGCTACTATTATACACATTGAGATCTGTGGACCAAATGCTTTTTGATTGAAATAATTTTACAAATTCTAACATTCTAGAAGGATTTTGAAATCAAAGGTAATACCAGATGTTCTGTGACATAAACACCATAAAAATACATTCAGATCCTCTTCTCTTATTTGCCTGTTATTTTGTGTGAGAAGTATACTATGGGCTGATGAAAAGGTTATGCCAAGCATTTAAGAGAAAATTCTGAACTTCAAATACTGTATAAAATGGAAATATAAGCACAGTTTTCAGAAGGACATGTCTCCAGGGGCAGACTGGTTGGCCCTAATGGTATGAAATGCCTCATTGCACAGGGTATCCTTCACATACAGTCATTTAGGGGACAACACACATTGTCTGTAAATTAGTTCCATAGCCAAAATGGGGTTGAGAGGGAGAAAAACCATAAAAATGTAGGGGAAAATGTTTGCAGATATACCCATATCTTTTGAAATAAAAATCCGTGAAATAGTTGTTAGCATTAAGATTTCTCTGGGTGGAAAAGACCAGCATGTATGCATTCACAGAAGTACTTCACATCTCTGTCTCTGCATTGCTTGTTTATTTGTTTTATGCTGGTTTTATTTTTCCAGTTTGCCTCAATAAGTTGTACAAAAACTCTTCTCTCTGGGCTTTTGGGTGAGTGAAGATCCTATTGGTATAGGATGTTCTCTAATGTGAGAGATGAGCATGTGCTCCACTTACAATGAACATGGTACATATTCCCTGCATGACTGCTCCAATGTGATTCTCAGGAAAGAGGAGAACTCCTTTTAATAATGTTCAGTGTTTGACATCACTTGTTTCCTCTTAGAAAATTTTTCTTTAGAATAATTTCTGTATTCTTTAGAATAAAGAAATTTATTTTGGAACAGATGTCTTAGGTCATAAGTTATTCTTGATGTGAATGCCCTCCCACAAAGACTGTAAGTAAAACCTCCTTGAATGATTTTCAAAGCCTTCTGCACTTGGGATTGGCATTTGATGCTTGAAAGGACTATACATGCAACTAGAACACATGTGAGCAACCAATACAGATATGTTTAAAAATGAGTCCCACTGAACTGGCCCCACTGAAATGGCCACAAGAACATCTGTGCATCACTTAACACAACGGGAGCTTGGAGCATTTTTATTAAGTGTTTATCAAAACTTCATACAGACCATCTGCATCATGTTGTCACCCATTCTCTATTTGTGATCAAAAAAGTGTACCTGATACTGACCATCTCATTTCTCCCTTCAAGAATTTTAGGATGGCTAATATTTGTGTTTTGTCTGACCTCAGTGATCTGTGTTTTTGTACACTTTTTCTAATGGCCTATACATTTCTTCAGTTCATGTACATCAGGGAAAGATAAAAACAGCCTACACTTTCTCAGCTTATTTTATTTTTGGAGGTTCTTTTAAGTACCCATAAAAAGCTTATTTGTGTCCTTATAATTTTGTTTCGCAAAAGCTCCATAAAAGACCACCTTAGATTCAGGAGACAGCGTGTACAAACACACACACACACAATCCTGTATGAGGTCTGGTTACAACTAAATTGTAAATAGCTCTTCCATCAGGGAATCCCCCAACTCTGCCTTACTGTGTATTACAAAAGTAGCAAATGAGTCAGGTTTCCCAGTAAACAGGAGCTGAAAGCACCAGCAGGGAGGAAAAGCAAAAGCCACAATGAGACTTGTTGTGACAAGACTGTCATTACATTTCTTGTCTGTCAAGTAGGTATTAATAAAGTTACCTCAGTTACTGAGTTATTGCTTAAGGGACCTGAGGTAAATCAGAGAGGCTACCACTGCTTTTCCATGTGAGCAGGGGACTTCAAGAATTTTCTGAGCTGTTGGTTCACTATAATGCTCTAGCAGGGACTTAAAGTTTCATGTGTTGTTTCATCAATAAAAAAGCTGCCATTGGGTAGTAAATTATCTGTGGAATCCTCCCTCTGGGAAGCCTTGACCTTTTCTTGGCTGTGCAATGCATCACACATCTGGGCCTGACCCTTATGTACAGGTAAAAAGGTGTCAGCTGTTTGAGAAACTGGGCTTTTGATTGCAACACGCCCCCTCCCAATTTTTCAAGAAGGACAAAAGATAATCCCAAAGTTGATTCATGTTTTAAACCCATGACAACACAAGAACTGAGGAAAATTATTATCATTAGGCTAGCAAGAAAGGTGAACAGGGGAAGTCTCTATGGTGGCTGGCAAATATTTTTTGAAATGGTGGTGGAGGAGCATCAGGGGGAAACAGTGAAGTGGGGTGAAGATGCTTCTTAAATGACACCTGAGACAACAACCGTGATTTGTGATAATTTTAGATGTTTTAATTATTTGTGATAATTTTAGATGGGAGGAGAAGAAATCGGAGAAAAGGGAATTGGGGGAGAAGAGGGAAGCAGTAATACTTTGAGTAACGCTTTGCTATTTCAAGTGAGAGCTTGGACATGAGAGTGGGTACCTGTTCTTCAGTATTCCTGAACTATATCTCTAATGTACATGTGCATTAGGTCTGCCAATCTGTCCCTTACTGCCTGAAGACCTGACTGATGGTTAGTAGTCATAATGCAGCATTTCAAAAAGGCAGGAGTAAGGAGTTCATATTAAAAGTGAAAACAAGAACTACTTTCCTTACAGAAGTGCAGAGAATTGTACTCATTATAAAAAACTAAATAGAAGGCTGCAGCCTTCAAAAGGCAAGGTATGGTCTGTGTGCAGAAACAACTTTTGTTGAAGCTGACTTTTAAAGCAGTTTAATTAGAATGAGGTCCTTTTGTGTCTCGTGGTCAAGCAGTTGATCCGATGAAGAGTCAGACACTAAAGAATGAACTGCTGCAAAGCCTGCATCAAACCACTTGCAAGCCGAAATGAGAGCCACTCCAAGCTAAGGAAATTGTTTTCAAACTCACCCGTGGTCGAGCGGTGCGTGTCACATGAATAACGCTCGTCCGCTGGCTGCCCGCTCCCGCTCCTCTGCCCGCCCGCGGCGGCTCCAGCCGGGCGTGCGGCGGGCGCGGCGCTGCCGCCCTCGGCTCGGGCGGCGGGGACAGCAGCGGGACCGCCAGGCGCACCTCGCGGGGGCTGAGCTCAGAGCTTTGGCAGCAAAGCGAACTGGGCGCTCGTTTTTAAATAAATGGGCTGCAAATCCCACTTATTTTTGATCCTCGCTTTCTCTTAATATTTTGCGAGTCTGCTCAGGATCTGAGGTTTCAACAGAAAGTGGTGCCGTGGGGGAGGTTTCTTCATTTATCAGCCTGTTTTACAATCTTCTGCTTCAATTCCAAGGCAGACAGATTGATGGAATAACTACGGTATGGTGGTGCCACAGTTGTAGAAGTGTGTGATCTGTTAGAGTTTGGTGTGGTTTTGTTTTCACACACTGGCTATTTTTTTTTGTTGAAGTAACTCTCTTTTTCCTAATACCTCCAGCCACAAAGTAGTTTCATCTCAGCAGATGTCTTAAGCATAGTTCAGCTGCATCAGCAGATATTCCGGCGATGGTATTGCTCCCCTGTGACTCTCAACAGGGATTTTTAAATTTTTTTTTTATTTAAGTGCTGGCAACATGGTTTATTTATAACAAGGAACATATTTCTAGAACATTTTCTATATCCATATCTATTTCTTCAATCTTTATCTCAGTAAATAGAACTTAGTGTTCACATTTAGATTTTTCTTTTTCTCCTCCTCCCTGTACTTGCTGCTTTTCAAACAGCAGAGTGGCTAAGAAATGCTTGGTCAAAGAGCTGTTTGACCAGTGCTATAGTCTAGAGCAGACTCAGCGGCACTAGACAAACATTTTCTTTACAGCATTAGTTCTTTCGCCTACAAGATATATCAAGTTAAATGTTCCTAACACTGCTTTTTTCCCTCATGTATGTTTCAATCTTTCTGACATCTGGAAAAAGTGGTTTTTGACTTGGTCCTTCCAGCATAACTTCTGTTTAAACTCGATTCACAAAAAAGATATAGTGTTTTCCTAGGGTCTGGGTGATTAAGATCATTTCTCCTTTTACCTGGCAGTGCTACAACTCTCTGCTAGAAGGAGCCCCAAAAGAACTACTCTGGGAATTGTCACATTTTATGATGTATAGGCTTCTTTTTCTTTTTAATTTTACCACAAGAAAAGAAGGAGCATTCCCCCATCTGCACAGATCTCCTCAGCCCTGCTGAAGGTTGAGACTCAGAGCTGCTTAACCATTAAAATGAAAGACCAAACTCCTGCAGAGTCCTCTCAGGCAAAGCTCCTGTATTCCTTTTGTAGGTGCTCTGCTTGATGAAACATGGAAGATCAAATGCTTAACAGTTGAATGAACAGGCTTGCTGGACCCCCACTCCATGGACTGGATCTGGGACAGGGTCCTTTTCCCAAAACTCGGACTAGAGCACTACTAATGCAATGACAGGCGTGTGGTGACAGCTGTCACTTTGTTGTCTCCTGTTAATGACAGAACTTTTTTTTTCAAATTTTGTGACTCTCACACTTGCAGACCTACTGGCTGGGTCCCTTCCCCATTTCCTCCAGATGCCAGACCTGAGCAGGAGCACAGCAAAGGCCAGGCAATTCTGTGTTCCCAAAAGACCAACAAGTCTTCACTTTAAGTTCAGGTCCAGAAGTGATAAGGTAGGACCTTTATACTGGAACTTTCCACTGCCATAAAATGACCAGGATGAAAGTCTTCCAGATGCTCCACCTCCACCATAGGCAAAGGGGAAGATGATTAGGATAAATGAAATTTGTCTATGAGATAATTTGTCTTGGAAGTGAGGTCCGGTGGGATCCTGCCTACTTAGGGCTGCTGAATGTGGCTCCATATTTCCAGCCCCTTAGGTGACGGGAAAGCAATTGCCCATAGCACTGAACTGTTAGCAGAGTCCTTATCATGGGTTTGGCCTTGGTCAGCTCTCTGTGTCTGACTGGTAGGTCCAGAATTAGTGCAGGAGAGGAGGAACTCCAAATGAACAACTTGGTAATGGCTACCCATTTTTGGAGAGTAAGGGAAGTTAATTGTACAGGTGTGGGCTGTTTGCAGCTTGCTGCCCTCAGGGACAGGGACTACAACTCAGCATGTTTAATTTTCTACTGTATTTACCACTATAGACTTCAGTGCTCCTTACTATTTCTGTTATGGATGTAGAAAACCATGAAGGAAGAAGCTATGAATGCTCCAGAAACCTGCTTTAAGGTCTTCCTCACTATCCCTTCCTTGAAGGAATACTCCCTTACTGTGTTCATCTGAAGGTGGGACTGTTTTAAAATGCTAGTAAAAAACATAAAGTTCTTCTCTTCCCACCCTCAGCACTAGATCCTGTCATGATTAATAAAACCATTTAAAGAATTTTTCATTTCTTTTTTCCCATCTGCTCTACCTTGCCCTGACCTCAAATTAGTTAAATGAAACAGTGACCCTCCTGAATCTACCTTCTCTTTCTATGCTATTGATGCCTCAGGTCTTAGCTTTTATATTTTTCAGATTCTGTGCTGCTTTGGTTTGTACTTCTGAGCTTCATATTAGGGGACAGTAAGCTCTCTTCACAGAGTTGGTACACAAAACAATTCCTTCTCTATCTGGGGACCAAGGACAAATGATCCAAATTTCAGGCCCAAGAGCATAAACAATGGTGGACTGAAGAGAGAAAAACAAGAAAAATGGGACTTCATAAACTAAACCTATAACTCTAATATAGTAATGGACCAGTACTTATAAAAGTGTGAGACCCCATAACCGGTCATCCATTTTGTGACCATTTTGGGTTCATTTTGGGTGTGGTCCTGGCTGGGCTCTTGTGTCACCCAAGGTGACACATTGAGACCTTCTAATAAATACCTACTTTATTCTTTAGCTCCATCTAGCCTCTGTTCTAGGTCAGCCTTCACAAGGCATCACTATAACCCCAGTCTCTGTTTTGTCAGATTTAGAACTTTGTTATAAGAATTAACTGTCTATCTCCACTTCTGCTTTTAAACCCTCCCATGACAGTCCTGCTTTGCAGCCCTTGTCATTCATAACTGTCTTGTATTTTCACAGAGGCACCACTGCAGATGGTACAAATGAAAAGAAAGAACCACTTCTCCCTGTTACTCATAGACAAAACATGGTCTGACCGTTCAGCTGCAAAAATCTTCAGAGCAGATCTGTTTTCATTCCTGACAGTGTTACTTCTGCAGTGCAGAAACAATCAAAACTTTTTCCTTCATGGACAGTTATATAGTGTCTGAGATACACCTGTTTGGAAATAGTACTGAAATGTATAATAATTTGTTCACCTTTGTAATCTTCTTGCGGTCACAGGGAAGGTTTGTTGGGGGAAAGGTGTGTTGCATGATGTCTTCACTATGATTTTCATTATGTACCTGTGCTTGTACATGTGCTGTGCTTGGGCTGTCAGCACACAGCTCCTGCCCTGGTTCTATCGTGACTCTTCTGGGAAGGATCAAGTAGCCTTAAAGCCTTTCCTTAAAGCCTGACGTGGTAATTTCAGGGACAGATGAGGAACCCAGGAGCTGCCAGCACGGCAGGTATAGATGGCACTGTCAACCCTGGCTGGAGATTAAGTGCCTCCCAGGAACCAAAGCTGGGATTTCTGCAGCCTGGCAGAGTGATGGGGGCTCCTGGATGCCTCAACTTCAGACCTTCAGGTGAGTCAGTGCCATAGTGCAGTGAGGTCATTTGGGATCATGGTCATGGTGTTTACCAGATTGAAGGCGGGATACACTTAGCAATGGTGAAAACTGAGCTGGAGGTGGCAGCAGACCCTTATCAAGAAAAAGGAGGCACATGGTTCCAAACCGGGTTTTTTTTAGATTTTCTGTTTCCAAAGTGTCCAAGGTGCCTTTTCTCAATAGAAATGCTATTGTTTCAAATCACTTTCCTGTCATCTTGATTATATAGGCTTGACATCCAAAGCCATGTTTATGGAAGCCTATGCACACAAAGCTTCCTCTGATCCTATTAAACTGTCTCTGGAATCTCAGAGTTTCCATATTCAGCCTCCTCCCCCTTCAGCACTTTGTGCTTTGTAGTACCCTCAGCCTATTGAGCATTGGGGCACATCAACATCTCAACCTTATCACATAAGTCCATCAGAGAACCAATTCACTTTCCTTGCTCTTCAGAAATCAGGGAGCCAAATTTGTGTTGTTAATATTTCACTAAGTACTGGTACAATTGTCATCTACCTTTGTAACTCAAGCATAGAGTTTATATTTAAATTGAGATGTCTGTGTAATTTTACATGTTGAAAATGGCAGACTCATTTTCCCAATTCTAAACTTGATCATAAGTTTCTCCAACTTTTTAAACCGTTTTCCCACTTAGTATGTTCAGGTGTGTATGTAGTGGAAGAGGGGAGTTTTAACAGTGACATTTTACACCAGAGTAACAGAGAATTTCTGCAGGTTGTATAATACTGCATTTTCATCCTTTCCCCCTAGCAACTTTGCGAAGGTGTGGATTTAATTAAAAAAATATATTTAGCAGCAAAATCCAGACTAATTAAACACGGCTCAGCTGTGTCTATCTAGGATCACAACTGAAGTTGCTTTTTAGTTTATTTAACTGAGAAGGCTTTTTTTTTTTTCTTTTTTTTTTTTTTTCTGGTAAAATAAGGTTCCAGAAGTCATGTGAAAAAAAGTTATTTTATTTGAAGATCTTCTGGCAAAAAAACCCATATACTGCTCTCAGTTCATCCTAATAACTACTTTTCTTAGGAGACCAGCTGTCCTAGAGAGCATCCACACCCTAGTGTCATTTGTTTAGCTGCTTCCAGAAAGCTACAAGTGATCCACGGTGATGGCTGTACGCTGGAGCCCTACCTCAGGTAGCTGGTGAGGTTTGTGGATAAGTAGTGGTGCCCTGGAAGAGGGTATTGCAGGTGAGTGCAAGAAAACCAGATAATGCCAGATCTCTAATAAGATTATGGCCACCTTGATAAGTTTTAGGTGAATTAAATCTGTGATTCCCCAAACTCGCTCTTTCAGCAGTTCCTTGTAGGGCCATCTC